CGCGACAAGATTATTCTTTGCGGCGATCTAAACATTGACTATTCTCGCCCAACTATAAACACCATGATGCCTCGAGATATTTTAGATTCGTTCAACCTTGTAAATCACTGCAACGAACCTACACGCTACGCTATCAGCAGGAATAACACAATATCCAATACGTCAATAGACTACATGACGACAAATCTCAGTCCACAATTCATCAATTGTACAGTATTTGATCCACATATATCCGACCACACTGCCCAAATGCTCTCGATCTCCATCACGTCAACCAGCGAATCCACTAAAAACATTAGCATGTCACGTCGGATAAGAACAATAAAAAGTGAAAACCTTGAGAATCTTAAAGCCAACCTGTCTCAAGAACACTGGTCGATAGTTGAAGATGAAGATATAGACACGGCGTTTGAAAACTTCATCAATACTTTCTTATGGCATTTTAATACCGCGTGTCCAGAAAGAGTAGCGATTTTTAAGCAGTACTCACACACTAAAGCCTGGATAACGGAGGAAATAAGATCCTCCAGTAAAAATTTGAGGGAAATACACACCCTCCTGCAAAATAACAAAGATAACTCCGAACTAAGACAACATTACCTACAAAGAAAAAGTAAACACAGAAAACTACTAACAACTACTAAAAAGCGATATCATGAACATCTAATTGAAAATGCAGAAAATAAACCGAAGAAGGTTTGGGAAATTGTAAATAAAGAACTAGGACGAAGCAGCTGTACCAATCAAATAATCTTAAATACAGAATCCGTTGGAGATCTGCGAAGCGAAGGTACATCCGACGCGTTTGGTAGGTATTTTTCTACAATAGCAGAGAAGAAGCTCCATGTACACTTTGGAGGACAGCCCACAACTACAAGTCTGTCAACAACCTCACTAGCTCAGTCAATGTTCTACAGCGAAACTACCGGAGATGAAGTGACCAATGTGGTAAACAACCTTCGAAAAAATAAGTCATGTGGAAGTGATGGTGTGTCAACAAGAATAGTTAAAAGTGTGTGTCATCAAATTGCAGGTCCACTAGCTGTGCTCATAAACATGTCGGTGCATCAAGGTAAATTTCCTAAAAATCTTAAATTGGCCATTGTGGTACCTATATTGAAAAAGGGAGATCCCTCTCAAGTCGAAAACTATCGTCCAATATCTCTTCTGTCAGTTTTTTCAAAGATATTTGAGAAAGTACTGCACGCGCGCATAGCCAGCTATACTGAAAAATACAACATCATCTCCAATAACCAACATGGGTTCAGGAAATCACGCTCGATTGAGACAGTCTCTTTTGAGTTTATGAACCACATATACCGAGCAATAGACTTGGGTCATCTAGTTGCTGGAGTATTTTTCGACTTGACCAAAGCGTTTGATATCATTAATGTAGATTTGCTAAGGGAGAAACTTTTCAATATAGGTATTAGAGACTTCTTGCTGGACTGGCTAGTGTCTTTCCTGACAGACAGAGAACTTAGAGTAAGAGTGAACGATGCGCAGTCAGCTACCTATAAAATAAATATAGGTGCAGCTCAGGGATCTGTATTGTCACCACTTCTTTTCATCTTATTTATAAACGATCTGAAGCTCTCAGGTGCAGTAGTGAACTATGCTGATGACACATCGGCTGTAGTAACTGCAGATTCGCCTGAAGATCTGTACCTTAACATTGGAATCATAAAATCTGAGATGGAAGTGTGGTGCCAAACAAATCGTCTGATCTTGAATGCTGACAAGACGGTAGTTGTGCACTTTTACTCTAGTACTCCACGTCTCATTAACAGAACTATCTCAGACTCTACGACCTTCCTGGGTATTGAGTTGGATGCAGGATTAAATTGGAAGCAACAAGTTGACAGTGTATGCAGGAAAATCAATAGGTCCTACTATGCGATATTGAAATTAAAGCCAAATGTCCCCAAATCAACCCTGATAGATGTGTACTACGCAATGGTGTGTTCGCATCTGTCAAATCACACCATCGTCTGGGGACAAGCATGCACCGCGTCCAGAGTGTTTATTTTGCAGAAACGTATTGTAAGGCTGATATTTAACATTAAAGGGAGAGAATCATGTAGAGCAATATTTCAGCATAATAACTTGCTAACGCTTCCGAGTATATATATTTATAAATGCGCCCTCTACACCTTCAATCACAGGGCCAGTTTCTGCAGAACAAGGACTTAAACACGAACTACAACACTAGAGCGAAACAGGACTTGAGTATACCTTCGCATACACTGTCAATGTTCGAAAAATCACCAGCCTACGCCTGCACCAAGGTATTCAATAAGTTGCCATCAATACTAAAAGATATTAGATGCTCAAATAGGTTCAAGAAAGAGCTGAGGAGTCTGTTAATAGAAAGATGCTACTACTCAGTAACCGAGTTTCTTTCAGGGTAAGAGTGATGCACCAAAAAATTAAATAGGCAACTATGGCTGTATATATATATATATGTGTATATATGTATATGTATGTGTGTCTATATATATATATATGTATGTGTATATATGTATATGTGTATGTATGTATTATGTATGTGTATATATGTGTGTATATATTTACTCGTATATGCGTACCTATTATTTTTTTTTCTATTTTTATTGTACCTACTTCTTTTACACCATTGTTCTATTTATTATTATTGTATCTGTTGTTTTCTCGACTAAACTGTGTTTTTTATCCATTTTTAACCGACTAATTTATGTATTTATACTTAACTATATTTTTAATTCTTGTAGATAATAATGTACTCATAGAGATATACCTGACGAGTCTTATATCATTTCTATGATCCGAAGACAATAAAGCATCTATCTATCTATCTATCTATCTATGAATAAAATAAGCCTTCAAAATTTCAGGACAAAAAAAATTGTTCATTTACGATATGAATTCTTAAAGAACGATATTTCAAAACTCTTGATTATAGCTATAAGAAGATTCTGTGTATACTTATCAAGCAAATTAAACCACGGTGCAGAGTTGCATTGTTTGATGGTAAGCAACTACTAATTTCTTGGAGATCAGACTAGACTATTAGAGAATTTGGAAGCAACCAATACTGTTTTTACTTCCAATGTCCCTAGACGTATAGTTCCGGCTTCTTTTATCAGTAAGGTGATGGAGAAGTGCATAAATCGGGAGCTTCTGGAGTATTTCGAACACCACGGCTTGATTAGTGGTAGGCAGTAGTTTCTGACACCAGCGATTAATGGGGGACCTCTTAGCTTATATCACACAATTGTGGAGCAAACTCGTCCGATCATATATGGTGAGGTTTACGTCCTTGCTCTTATGCAAACTTCGATCCCATGGTCTTCCAGAGAAGCTATGCAGATGGGTGGCTGACTTCCTAAAAGTATCTGAAGTGGTTGACGGGTTCTCCTATTCTTCTCGCAAAGTCAACCCGGGTATTGCCCAGGGTCGATCTCGGGTCCATCATTATGTCTATTACATAACAGCGACATTATCTCCTATAATTGTTTGACGAGAGATCTGGAGGTTATCACTGATTGGTATGCAACAATCTGGTACAATTAAATGTAGCGGCCATTTATCTTGGTTGATCGAAGTCAAGATCACCGAGGAATTGATCTGGCACGACATCTCGCCAGTCGCGATACCTGCTGCGAAGAAACTAGGCTGTTTAAGGCTAAGAAGTACTTTTTAACACATACCCTGCACAAGGCCCAGGTAAGACCTAGCCTCGAGTATATTATCCTTTCACTTTCGCGACGATGACGACGGGCCGACGTAGACCAGACTGTACTACTCCTATGTCAATGTCATTCAAAACTTTCCTCCAAGCCTCTGCGCGACGAGCCTGCTAAGCAGATCCGCCAGACTTCAGCCTCCCTTCCTAATATGTCAAACTTCGTACATCTAAAACTGATTGGCAGAACCGCCCCTTTCGATTATTAGCACTAATTCCTATCGGTTTCTTCGTTTAACAGCTGTCGTCGTTCTCCTTTCTTCGTAATTTCAAAAAGGCCTTCAGTAGTCCTAATAGAAGTTTGATAGCGATATAATTTCGGATCAAAGTAAGAAATGCTAATTCTTTAACAAATCGTAGCAGAGTTGTGAACAAAAAATCATCTCCAAACATTATTCTATATGATTTTCAACCTAACGATACTTTTTTGGCGTAGTCAAGACAAACTCTACTGTAGACGTCAGGATTTTCAAAAGAACTGCTAACTTTGTTTAGCCGCTTTCCATTTTTTATCATCTGAAGATAAAGAAAAAGCTTTTGTGGAAGTAAAAATCTTGAAATCGTTCAGAATTCATTTTCACCGTTTCTCAAGGGTCTGATCGTTTTATAGTGTGAATAATTTTCACCTTTCAATTTTTTACCTAATTATCATGCCCCGTCTTTCGAACTTTCGACTAGACTTTTCAGTAGATCGATCGGTCGGTAGATCCCAAGGCTTTCAACAATAAACACAAAGTTCTAGACCCCTTACTTTCGAAATACCGGAGCTACAATGTTGACCAACGGTACCTTACTGCAGATTCGTACAGGTGCAGTCCATGGTTTGCGATAGCTACTCGTTTTTTATTTACCCACATTATCATTGGTACATGTCTGATGACGATTCTCGAACTCTGACAGATGCGCAATGTACAGGGTACTCTGAAAAATAATTATACCTGTTTTTAAATTCATAAAAATAGGTCATCATAAATCAAAAACAAAACTTGAATGGAATAAGTTGAAATTTTGTGGCCATGGGTCGTTTTGACGCATTATTCGACCGAAGTGGTCGACATTTATGAGTTGGGAAGCATTGAAAAATATCTCGAAAATATCATTATGCTTCATTTTATTCTGTGAAGAGCTTTAAACTTTTGTCAAACTGCTATAATGAACTCTGAAAGTGCCATTCTTTAAACAAATCTCCGATACAACAGCATTTAGCAGATATAGTAGTTTTGAACACAAGTATATAACAATAAGATGTTTTAAATTTTTATCTCACACAATAGTACTTGACACCTTTGTGCAGTTACACCCTTGAACTAAGATAGGACATACTCACTTCTAACACTTCAGTCTGTATCATTGCATGCTCCATGTGTACGTAGGTCCCATTGATGCTCACTTCGGCTGCTGTTTAACTTGATTCAAGACAACCTGTGTGATATAATACTGCTTGAATACACATCAAAGGCCCACCAAGATTTGGTAATAGTGGAGGGACAAAGGAGATGGCGTTGTCGAAGTTTGTGTAAATTCAGTTCCTGTTTGCTTATCGGACGCTTTCGAATATTATAGTTTGTATCTAAAATATACGTACATGATCACTATTGGAACGGCAAAAATACGAGTAGATAGTACGTATGATATGCGTAGAATAAATCTTTTGATACCTCTTTGATTTTTTCAAACCCTATCTTTCTCAATAAGATGTCGCGCAAAAATGTCAATCAACTTTCGACAATAAAGTCAGAACGAGACAGCCTTATTCTAAGACATTAAGCATTACTTCAAAGTGGGGATTCCTTGGACGATCTTAAGACTATTTCGTTCTATAACGATTTCCGGAAAATCGCTTCATTTTGAGGTAACAGGCCATTGTAAATCGGTTCTTTGTAATATTTGAACCGCACGGTATAATCACATAATAGGTAATCAAGAAGCTGGACGCTACTATGTCAAAAAACTATCAGCAGCTCCGAAAACATTTACGAGATTGAGTTGAATGGTGCTCTCAAATTTTTCCTCTTTACTCGTCCCTGTGCCTTTATTAGTGAAATCATTTAAGGTCTTCTATCACTAACACAGCAGAAGCCTTGGGTTAAAATTTGTAACGCTTCCTTTCCGCAAAAAGTCCAGAAAAGATGGAATGCAATAAAGATTCCAACTTTTCTGCACAATCACAGAAAGGGGGTTACCATTAGCTTCCGGTAGCTCAGTCGGTGGCATGAAGACATCTACAGGCGTGTAGCTGTGTGTCGACCATGGCATGGCTAGAGGATAGAAGAACAAACAGAACACAAAAATTTAACAGATTTCATTTAACTTGAAAAGCACTTTCATTACATTTGAAATTGAAATTTTAAAGAACAAAATAAGTTTTAAATCTTTGGCGCTGCTATAAAACCATACACTTATCTTTTGCTAAGCTGGTCCGGTTTGACTGGACTGAAGCGAGGATGGCCAGGTGCTTGAAGTGGAGGTCCCAGTTATGAGGGGTGACCTCACATTTAGTGACTTCAAAACTAGATGTAGGCGAAGTTGAACATAAAGGTGATGGCGCTGCCAAGGCACATGCAAGGGTGAAGTGATAGGCCAAGCAATGCAAAATCAAAGACAAAGGCAAAAGGCAAAGGGAAAAGCAAAGGGAAAGGGAAAGAGAAAGGGAGTGGCCCCAATCATTTTGTCCTATTTGGACACATATTTTACAAAATTCTAGCACATGGTGCTATATGACCTCATGCTACAGAGAACAAAATTCTTAGCTCTTGTTAGATCGGCGGCTCAAGTGAAAAAGAAGCGCGAGGAAGATCGCAGATCAGGAACTCCGCATCAAGCGCGCTCCAAGCGGAAAATTTTCCAAGTGTTTAAAAAAGCTAGAGATGGGATTAATGAATTGCGATTCTGAAATGATAATCGAGAAGTGATTTAATAAATACGATCGGACGGTGAAACCGTTACAAATTGTATTATAATCAGAACAGTAACTTCTGATCCGTAATTAAGCACTATAATGCTGAGCAATGCACAGATCAGCGCAGCTGACGGCTCTGAAAACGTAGCCTCACAATGTACTGCTCCTGGCTAATGCTAGCGCATCGACAGCTCGGCACGGGTATTACATATCTTAAAAAGTAACATTTCGTCGGTTTTTTCTTTACACTTCGTAGGTTTTTTTGTGACATATCGTAGGTTTTTCTACAAGATGTTAACTTAGCATAAGCTGTTGTACACTTGTTGTGAACTCGCTTTGTAGCTGTACGTGTTGCTTAAACGTCAGCGAACAGCGATTATAGCGAGCAAACGTGGAATGAACTATTTGCACACCAAATACTACTATAATATAGTCTGCAAGAAGTCATTTCGTCGTTTTTTTACGTTTTTGGGATATTTTATATAATACCCGTGCGCTATTTTGGTGCTTCATATGCTGTGAACATGTGCTACCTTGCATCCACTCTGGCCCCTATCCGATAACTCAACAAAGTTTTGAGAGCATACTAACCAGTTCAAGACTCTCATGGTAGTGTTCACTTCATATACGGCTACGGTTGGGCTAGTTCCGACGCAATGTTACTGATTTGTTGTAATAATGGCATAAAACAATATTTTTAGAAAGCATGGATATTTAATACAAAATAACATCGTTGTTTCCTTATGTTAGAAAGAATAGTTTTCAAGAGAACAAAATTTTTTTTAGTTCTGATCCTCTCAACTTACACTGCAAACAATCCTTGAAAAGTTTAACAAAATTCCAAAAGTTGGTCTATAAGTAAACTTTTATATGGATCTTTTTTAGGTCGCTGACTACGACTATGTTATTAAAATTATTATATTATCAAAATGACGGACCCAGTATGCCGGAATCGGTATCATAATCGATTTAAGAAACAAGACTTCTTTTGTCAAAAACGATACATTTTATCTCATCAGACAATTTTTCAGCAGAAATGTTACGCCTTCCGAGAATGTAATTTTTAGGCCATCATAATGCATAATGAATTGCAGGATCGTCCCGGCAACATCATTTCATTAACCATAATAGTACAATACTTCATTAGTTCCTATAATATCAAGATTTCGTTGAATTGCATATAGCATAAGTGTTTTTCAAGAAGTACTTACTGTTCGCGTTCCTATGTTGATATTGTGCAACTAGAGGAAGAGTCAATAGACTACACTACTCAGAGAAATTAGGGGAGCAAGAGAAAAATCCAAAATTTACGGTAATCTTTAAGAAGCTGTATTTCAGAGAAAAGCACTTTGAAGATTCAGTCGGAAAATTCTGGTTGCAACGGTTCTCATGCAATTTTTACAGATAGAGCATGAAAAATGTTTTGGAAAACTTTGCCTTCTTCTTTTTATGGTCTTCTTGATTTTCATAGCTTTTCCTGTCCTTTTTCTTTCTGAATTCTGAGAAAGTTCATGCTGACAAAACTTGGTTTCTATCATGAGCCTGACATTTCTTGAGATTCCAAGAGAAAACATAACCTCACAATAGGAGAAGGTAGACGCTGATACGGAAGAGTAGAAATTTATAAATACTCCCGCCTTTCTGAAGGTGAGAAAATACTAGGAGAATCAAGGAGGCCATAAAGGCGTTCAACAATTGTAGATACGGCCCTCAGTCCCCGGGTTACCCATGTAGCTTTAATATTATGTTTTTAAAATCTCCATACGATCATTTGGCGCGAAGATATCTGACTTTGATTGGAAAAGGATCCCTTTGTCATCGCCCACTGATATCTCCGTAACCAGTTATCGCACAGAGAAAAGAAAAACGATTTGTCCATTTTCAACCAGATTACATGATGTTTCGATTTTTTTACTACTTAGATTTCTTGCAAACTGTGACCAGTCATTCCAAAGAAACCGTTCAATGGATCTATCTGCCATCGTGTAGGATTATTACAGGTACATTGAGGTATGAAAAAACCTTAAAATATCAGCCTTCTCAGTGGCAGTTCCAAAAATGCGATAGATTTTCCAAAACAATGTAAAAAGTAACCTGTTTGACTTTTTTAAAATCAATACTAAGCAAACCAAAAGAAAAAATCCTTAAAGGTTGCAATCAAATGTTATTGGAGACCTAGTCCAGTTTTCGGAAATACCCTTATGTTCTCTCTGCGATCACCGGTTATCGAGATAGTGGTGGATAACAAAGGGATCCTTTTTCAAAATCATCAATCATGATCTAAAAAGATGTAGTCAAAAATTTAGCAAATTGTTTTTCTTTTTTTGTTTTTCTGTTACAATTGCGTTGCTCCTAAATTTTTTCGGATAAAAGTCTGGAAACTAGAATCTTAGAGCTTCAAAACCATTTTTTTTTTTAGTGTCTCCATACGACTATTTTTCACCGAAATATAGTCTGCCAAAAATCACCGAAAAATGTGGATTTTTCTTGCTCGCTTAATTTTTTTGAGTAGTGTATAGCAGCTAAGTTCACTATCCACCTAGTTTGCTTCTTGGATAGGTTATGGGAAGAAAGTTGACTTACGTTTGAAAGTATCAAGCGGCTCTATAATTCTGCAGTAACCAGATGTTGCAGTTTATCAAGAGATATCTCCGTTTATGATGGTGTTAAGCAAGGGTTTCTGTATCAACCAAGCAAGTAATTGTACAGTCGATGATTGTGCATACTAAATTTAATCGCAGTGTGTTCAGTTAGGGAAGTGCACTAACTTATTAGACACGAATTAACGAACCGTCTTGGATATTTAGAAGTGTTCACGTCAGCAGGAAGCGGGATATGCCAGTGGTGTACATAACGCTGCCTATCAAGGGCTCCATCTTGAAATCTGTTAAATTGACACCGTTTATACCTAAACTTGTTTAGTGCTAGATTTGCTCTATTGATCGCTGAAACATTTTTTTTTTGGTGGGAGGGAGATGGACAGATATGAATATTTGTGATCGAAATGTTGGGGAAAAATGAAATCGAGATATGATTGAATGAATTTCGAACAAAATGCAAACATTCCGCCATTAATTACCAACCATCAGATTGACCTGATGTGTTGGAAAATGCCAAGAGTCAGGTTGATCAATATAGTTACAAATTATTCTGAAATAGAATTGCTTGGAAATTTTTGCTACGAGCGTCGGGCCACAACTGCAAACAGGTAGGCAGTTATTACAGTTCAGCATTTATATAATCTCTTCAAAGATGAAAAAAAAGAGCCACCAATACTGAAAAGAAATTGATAGTGTCATGTAAGCCATTTAAAGCAACACAAAAAGGAAAAGATCCATTGGTAGAGGTGACTGAGAAAAATCTTAAGGTGATGCAAATATGGCTACAAAATATACGAACATATGGAGGCTTTATATGTTCAAACCATTGTGTTGCCACATACTTTCACGAAATTTAAATAAAATCAACCGATTTGTGCTCGACATAATCCACATAACATATACATGAGCACACTATGATTGTCTAGCCGCTTAATAAAATGGCATACGTTTGAACTACGTTTTTCTGTCGTTCGAACCACCACGATGGCTGCTTTTGAAGAATCGGCGAAACGTTCATAATGAGTAGTTCAAGCATGTGTGGTTTTATTCAGTGGCGAGACAATCACGGAATCTTATAGGCATGAAAACCTTTTTACACCACAAGCTCTTATGTGAAATTATATTTTCCCGTATCATTTAATTTTTTTTTCGCTGAAAATAAACAAAATCACTGGAGACATCTCTTCTATGACCTCCCAAATGTCACATGTACTTACTATATGTTTAATTACCTTCAATCTTGTTGTGATAAGGGTTGACTCACCAAAAATAGAATTTTCACCTAAAACATACTTTTAGGAATTTTTTGAAAATTAATCGTATAAAACTTCGAAGGCGTTAATATATTACCTCAAGGATAGACCATCTCATTGTTGAAGTAGTTGTCTTCAAAATTTAAGACCTATGTTTACTACAGTATTGATCTTTGCCATTTTGTCTCATTTTATAAATGACTATGGACAGT